ACAAGTATCCTTTCGACCGTCGGGTTCGACAACGCTCGCTGAGTGCTTCATAACAGGTTTAAAGCAAGCCCGGTGGCTTGCACGTGAATTAGTCTTAAGTGATAGGGGGCTTGCGATGTATCTACTGCACGCTTCCGTCCCCCGTCCGAGCCCGGTGTCAAGAAAGAGTCAAAAAGACCGTAAGCGGGGTCGGACGCAGGTGACTTGTGCGGCGAATCCTGCACCTAAGCGTACCACCACGCTCCCTAATCACCCACGAACAGTTGACCAGGGTAGGGGCAGCAGCCTATATCCAAACTCTCACAGCCTTGATCTGTGCGTCACTACACCTTATTACAAAACACCTTGTCATGACCTACACTTGGCCAAGATTTGTGTAGGTCATTATGGTTGCGGCTAAGATCTCATATGTAGCTGGCATGGAGAGGGGTCGAACGAAGCACTTTTCAATTACGTGAGAGGTGTGGGTGATGGGAAATTGATTTGACTCCCTTTATAATTTCAAACATATTTTCTGGAAAACATGGAGGAAAAAGTTCTTCCATGAACTCGTTCGATAGAAAATGACGCCTTCTTTAAACTTTAGACTTAAAGAAAGAGTATCTTTCGGTTTTAGAAAAATTTTTAATCATTAGATGTTTTACGATTGTGAGGTGTTCATTCCTAGTACATCGTATCCATCAACTAATTAATGCTGCCTATAATTTATTCAGCATGATCCACATCTATTGCAACATGTTATGAGAACTATGTGACTGCCTCCTTAAACCGTAGGCAAAAAGTACTTTTCCTTAAACAAGATGTACACAGCACTCAGTTTGTAAACCTTGAATTCGGTCGGAAGGTTTCTAAATTATTCGGCAATTTAGAAACTAGTGGGTAATTGTACACCGATCGGTTTCAGGATGCACCCATCCTGATTTGATTGTTCGTTTGCGAGTTAATTGGAAGCCCAACCGACAACACGGCGGACCCGTGGCTCAAGGGTTAGAGCTTTCGCCTCTGGTCGGAGAGACGCGAGTTCGAAACTTGAGTGTGGCGGCAAGTTCCGCTGCTACACTGGAGTTGAGCTACCACCACCTGATGACGCCCAATGAGGCATAAAAGGCCTTCATGAGCGTGCTGTGTTTGTCGGTAAAATAACATTGTTACTAAAATTTAGAAAATTTTTTAAACCGAAAGATAGCACTTCTTTAAGTATAAAATTTTAAGAAGCTGCACTTTTCTACCGAAGAAATACAAGAACGTATTTTCATGCATGTTTTCCATAAAATATATTTGAATTTATAAAGGCAGTCAAATCAACGATAAGAATGCATACTACTTAAGTAGCCGTTTTTTTGCAGTACATACTTTGTGTTAGCAGTCAGATAAAAGCTCGCTAAAAAGCCGGTATCCTATAGTGACTGAAATGGCTTGAGAATAGGCTACACGATAATCAGTATTACAACTTTACTCAACGCCGATTAGCGAGTGAATATCAATCTTTCGTAAATGTCGGCATGTTGCACCAATTCGGCGGCATATTGTAGAGCTGAGTTCGCACCTCTTGGCACTTCTCCTATAGCTGGCAGGCAGCGAAGATCATATCGGTGGGGCCGTAGTCTCATCGGAAGCTACACTGACTTTCCTGGAGGAGTCCTTGTTCTAGATGGTCGTTGAGACGGATAAGGAGGAGGCAAGCGGAAATCTCCCAGCGAAGTTGGTAAGCGATATTTTTCTGTCATTAGCACAGATTTTTCGGCTGTCTTTGTATTTATAGAGATGGAAGAGTGTAGCATTCTTAAAATCTTAAGGCACCTGTTCTTAGTGTCAGCTTCCTTGGAAGAGCGTTGGGATTTGGTCCATCACTCGGTGGCCACCGAGCCGTGCAACAGCTCCTCAGCTGTAAAGCACCAGGTCCTGATGCGATTCCAGCGAAAGAGTTTCTGCACGGCTCGAAATTGTTCTGAAATACAGGGCGACAAATCCAGGTTGATGTTGATTTCCACGTAGGGAGCCGGTCGATAGCGGCATCGGAGATGGTTGATGGGCGGTTCAGAACGCCTATGAATTTCTCACCCCAGTGCTTCACAATCTGCGACTTCTCGGTTTTGGGGATTATTCCACCGGTGCTAAGAATTGGGACGGGACCTTTGGCTGGGGGACTAGAGACAGCCTTGATTGCTGCGAAGAAGTTATTTGACTCACAACATCCGATCTCCTCGGCCTTGCGGGGCATCCAAACGTCCAGCATTTGCCGCCACCACTGCTACACAAAACGGCATCGGTCGAGCCGCCGATTTAGCTCCAGGTAGCCTGTTTTTTTCGCGTAGCAAGTTGCTGATAGCTGCGTCCTTTTCGTACAAGCAGTTCTGGTGAAGAAAGTGTACGCATCTAAAGACGGCGTCATACAGTTGGTACCAGCGAGACTCATGGAGGCGTTTTCATCTAGAGTTTACAGGTCTTCCAGTCGATGGACTAATTTGTGGCTCAAGTTGAGACGGTGAGCATGCAAATTCAAAAATACCGAACTTAACTTACCTGGTGGTCACTTATCTTGAGCTTTTCTGTGAGGTCGAATTAGGAGCTTCACCTTGGAGATGAAGAGGCGGCAATCCGTCCAGCCATCGGCATCGCAGCTCGCCTTAGACACCCGCACATCCTGTCAGTCCCAATTCTGGATGATAACATAGTCTAGCAACTGCCAGCGTCGCGATCGTGGGTTCATC